GACAGCTGGTCCAAGTGGAGCGAGGTTGGGGCCCTGCCGGACAAGCGCGCCGAAACAACAGCATCATGGTTCTTCAAGGAGGTGGGTAGGTGTGCCGCTACGGTGCGCCTGACAGGGTCATGACGGACCAAGGGAACGAGTGGGCAGGGGAGTTTGACGCTATGCTGGGACGGCATCGAGTTAGGCACCTCCGCACCGCGGCTTACACGCCCCAGTCAAACGGGCAAGCGGAACGGCTCATAGGAGCTCTGACGGAGGCACTGAGGAAGGTGGTCAATGAGCGGGAGGACGACTGGGATGAGCGCGTCTACCCCATCATCCTTAGCTACCGCGCAACGCGCCAAAGCAGCACACGGGTTAGCCCAGCCATGTGCCTCTTCGGCCGGGAACTAAGCTTAGCAGGGGAACCGCTGAGCCCGGCTGCGGGAGCACTTACCCCGGTGCCGGAGGCATCGTCGGGCGAAGAGTACGAGGCGAGTGACTACCAACCCCTGCGGCGCCGACAGGAGGAGTTGGAGGGGATGGCACGCAAGGTAAACGAGAACATAGCCAAGGCGCAAGCGCAGGACATCAGACGGCATGAGCAGCGCCGGCAACCCCCTAATTACCGGGCCAGGGCAAGACCACCGACTCCCATCCCGCGGGAATTGGCGGTAGCTGGGCGGGCGGATCCGTCTGACAATCGGCAGTTATCCCTTACCCGAACTGCGGAGGCTGCACCACAAAGCAATACCGGCAACCGGGGAGAGGGGACCATAGGCTCGCAACGCCCCAACTTGAACCCGCCGGCGCCAGCACCTGTGTCGGAGAGGAGGGAAGCAAGGGCGCAAGCCGCGAGTTTCAGTACTCCCGTGGCACGGACGCAAGATGGCAGCAACCTAAAGGAGAGTACCAACCCCGTTCAACTCAAGCCGGCAGCAACTGTGGCCCCCGCACACGCACCGGCAGTGCGGGAGGACGACTCTGATATGCTGCGGCATCTGCCAGATTTGCCAGAAGGAGCGCTGGTCTACCGCCGCATCAAACGAACATCAAAGCTCGCACCGGATAGGGAAGGCCCGTACGCTTTCTACTGTTGGCATCCCCGTGGGACTATGGCTCTAGTCAAAACAGGTGATGGAGCCCTCTTCTCCGTCCCAACTCACCAACTGTATGTGCCTCCACGGCAGAGAAAGTAGCGCTTGGTGGCTCAGAGTGTGGGAGACGGTGCCGGAGACGTAGTTTGCCGTACGGCGGCCGGGGCAAAGGACGCGAGGGGGAAAGGATGCACCCTCTTGCTGCTCGGTAGATAACATCAGCACTGGGGAGTAGCTGCCATGAGTCAACTCTGGGAGAGCGAGTAGTTGACGAGGAGGGGCGAGTCGTGAACGAGTAGCCGGCGAACGGTGTACGAGAAGGAGGCTACGTGCCAGGGCACACGCAAATGACATTGGAGCGTGTGCAGGGCTTAAGCCTGCGTCCCCGGAACACGCGCCGGGCACGAGGCTGCGTGGGAAGGGCACACGCTGGTCGTTTTGCGCCCCCCCAGAATGCCAGGAGGAAGCCGCCGTTAGCCGTCTGCAGGCATGGGCGAAAAGGGAAGGTTGGTGGGTGTTATTGCCACTAATTACGATGGTATCGGAGCGCGGTTTGACCTTTATACGAGACCCATGCCAACGTAATGCAGATTCGGCCGGATAGGTGACCCATGGGACAGGGCCTGCTAGCGGGAAAAAGGCAGAAAAAAAGAAGAAGGCCCGCTTACGTTGTATCCCTTAGGCACTAGTAAGACTCTACGGTTTACTTTGGAAATAAATAGTCAAATAAACAACACCTTGAGCAACGTTTCTTACTGTTCGACAAACTTGAGAAGCAAATCATGAAGGTTAGCGGGTTGCTAGGCCTCTTCCGGGGAAGTACTACGTTCTCGCACCGCCTCCATGGCAAGGTTAGCCCTAATTACCGGGCCATGGGCAACGGTTCACCCCGCCGGCGCGGCCTGAAGCCTCAGTTCCGGCGGCGCATCAACCTACCTAACTTCACCGACACCGAGTCCTACAGCGAGGAGGGCTCGCTGTTTGGGGAGGCAGCCGAATCGCCGCCGGAGCTGTTTATGGCCCAAATGGAGGACGCCGCCAGCATTGGGGCTGGAGGCACTCCGCCACCGTCGCCTTTCCTGCCTCCTCCGGACGCTGTTCCACCGCTGCCGCCACAGCCGCTGGCGCCCAAGACGGAGCACTCGCCACCAGCGGAGCCGCCGTTGGTTCCCGGGGAGATGAATTTCCAGGGACAGGGGCTGCTGGCAGCTTTCCTGAGGACGCCATCGCCGCCGCTGCTGCCGCCGGGGCCTCTGCCGCAGCCGGGGCCAGACCTCCTGGCTGGGCTGATTGATTTCACGCCTTCGGCTGGGGCAGCGGCGCACAGCCCGCAGCCACCGCCCTATTCCCCCGTTACTGTGGACAGTGGGGGGGAGTCGAGCGGTAGCGAGGAGGGGGAGGAGGAGGCGACGGCGCCGCAGCACCCGCAGCTGCGACTCTTTGGAACGCCGCCGCCGCCACCACCGCCGCCGGCAGCTGCTCTGCCGCCTTCGCTGCTGGACAGGGCCGCGCAGCTGCCGCCACCGATGCCACCCGGAGCCGCGCCTGTGCCGCAGTTCTCACTGCTGCAGCTGCTTGACATGCTGCCGGTGCCGCCGGCGAACAACCTGCCGCCGGTGCAGCCGGTTGGGGTGCAAACGGCGCCGCCGCCGCCGCCGCCGCCACCGCCACCGCCGCCGCCGCCGCCACCGCCGCCACCGCCACCGCCACAGCCGCCACCGCCGCTGCCGCAGCCGCCGCCGCGCCCTGGTGCCGCGCCGCCACTGCCGCCCGTTCAGCTCCTTCTGCCGATCATCAATCCGGTGACCACCCAGGAGCGCCTCTCGCTGCGACAGCTCCTTCAGCGGGTGTTTATGCCGCGCTGGGGGCCGGCGGCAGCAGGCCTGCTTGCGTTCAGGGTCTGCGATGACGCGGGCTGGGGGCCCCCGGGGCCCCAGGAGATCCGGCAGTTCTCGGACATCCTGGGCCGGCCGGTGATCGTCCTGGGCCGGGCGCACGCGCTACACATGGCGGTGCAGGCCGCCGTCGCGATGCTTGAGGGCTACGAGGTGTCCGCGGCCCTTGCGGACGCCCTGGAGGAGGGCGTGGAGGCCGCGGTAGACATCTAGACGGTCGCCGTAGGCGGAACCAGGCGCTCTCCCAACCCGAGGTTGAAGCTAAGTGGAGAAGAAAGGGATGGGATGGGAGCTCGGGGGGGTCAGGAAAGGGAAGGAGCAGGGGGATAAGGTCATTCGCAAGGCGGAATTACGGTTTACGGCAGGGCGTGTAGGGGTGGAAGGGAAGGAAGGTAGGCTGAGAAGGGTGTTGGATGGAGCAAGGGGGAAGCCGGCGCCAATGTTGCTTCGCCGCGAATAACATTGCTTCCAACATGTTGCTAGCAGGAATGCGTATGGATTAATTGCTGTTCGAAGACAGGAAACGTAGCAGCAAACTAGGGTAGACCGTATCTTTCAAGCGAAGGAAGATATCCCGTGAGGAGGCCAGGACGGCGCATCGTGGCGCCGCCTAACAACCTATAGGCTGAGTCGTACTCTATGGATTCGTTCTTCCTTACTGAGTTGTGCGCCCAGAAGTTGCGGATGGTGTCGCAGGGTTGAGGAGAGTTGGATTCGCTCAGCAATGTCGGAGCCGCCGAGCGGTGCTGGAGCCCGTTGTCCTCCAGCCTGCTGCGGTGGGTGGTGGCGGTTGGAACTTCGAAAGCTGGCGGAGGGAAAGCTTGAGTTTTGGATCGCCTTTTAGGGTCGCGTTGCTAGAGCTGCCGCGTTGGGCAAGCCGGGTCGGCTTGCGCTAGCAGGGGAAAGTGCTGACAGCTGTCAGCTACTTCGGCCTGAGATAAAGAAGTTGTGGAAGCAGTTTGGTTGTGGTTGAGGAAAGACACTTTAGTGAGCGAGATGGTTGTTCTGTTTTACTGTTGCAGGAATGAATGTTATAATTTCTGCTTCATGTTTTGTATACGTTTGATAGCTTTGCGGTCTATTTTGGAGGGTTTGACCCGAGGGTCGGTCTTTGGCCTCCGAAACCCCGTACGGGAAGCCGTACGAAGGTGGCGAACGGCTCCAGAACCTTCGGAATTACGTTGACAGGTTCAGTTGGCTTCCGTATGACGTTGCGACAGGCCGGTAGTAGGTTTGGATTACGTTGCACACTTTGTCGTACAAAATGCCGTACATTTCAGTTAGTATAAAAACGGTTATTTTGCAAATAGTTAACCAACCAAAACAAAGTCTTGGCCCCTGTTGCGGGGAGACTAACGGTTCCGGCCAAGGCCCGTAAGCCCCCTACTTTGGTAAAAACCAAGACGCTAGGAATTTCCCTCTCCCTCTCTAAGGGCTGCAACATCAGGGCCCTCACATCTGCACGGTTTCCTCGTCCAGCGTCAGTCCCCCCTTTCCCTTCCCCTCTCATCGCCCCCCGGCGCTTCTGCTTCTTCTTCTTCTTCTTCTTCTTCTGCCAAGCCCTTCCGCACGCTAGCACCCAGTACGGTTGTGGCATCCGTAGGCCTTCAACATCTACTGAGTCTTAGGTGCACTCCCAGAAAGGCTCTTAGTTGAGATGGTGCTCAAACGCTTGAGATTGATTGAGTTGAGTTGAGTCTACTTGAGCTTGGTTGAGGCTGCTCTCAAGTGGTTGAGTTACCATACTCTCAAGGAACCTCAACCAGAAAAAAGCCCCGCCCGGTGTAATTTGCTTCGTTGAGTATGTAAGACCTATTGAGCACAATTGCTCAAACAAAGTTAAGCTCAATATGACAATGAATGTATATATATAAACAGTTATGAGCTTGTCCTTAAAGGAACGATGCCCTAGTTACCCGGCTGTCCCTGGCCTATGACGGACTTAGTTTGAAAGCCGCCCCATGATCCATGTGTCCGCTACGTGCCTGCACAACATGCCCCGTTACTGGTAAGCCTTGCTCTTTTACTTCACACAACACACAACCTTCTTAAGCTCACGTTACATAGATACTGTCTCTCGTTACCGAAAGAATTGCCTCAATCACCTCGCTCTCCCAACACCTCGACTACTTCTTACAAGGCATTCCAACACTAGGAAACGAATTGCGATGAGTTAACTGTTATACGTTAAGAAGCGTGTGTGATGTCGAACACCAAGCCACCATGGCCGCGTCTGCTTCGCGACGGGCTCGCTGCTCAGCATGCAGATGGCTCATTCTCGTGTACTCAATGCAATAAAGTATTTCACAGCAAGCATCTTTACAAGCACAAGTGTTCCCTAGTCCACGTGCCGCTGGAGCCGTCATGTGTGGACAGCGACCTAACATGCAACACAGATTATGCTTCCTGCTTGGATTTACTAGGCGATGCAGTCGCAGATAAGCTTCTTGCATACCAACGTGACCTGGCGCAACGCTCAGTCCCGATGATGGCGCGCACCAAAGACCTCAGGGCCGTGCTCATACAGCTGCGCATACCATTTGCCGATGCTGTTTTCCCACAAGGTGAAACGACTAGTACATCCGCTCTGTTACTCTTTACGGTTTTGCGCCGTGCTTCAACTCCATTCCTTATGTGTTTCCACAGGCCAACCCTCCCCGCCGCCTGCTGCTGACACCTCGCCTCTTCCTAACAGCCCCATGCTAGTGGAGACACGCTCCCCGCAGTCCCAGCCTTCACCGATGGACGTCAACAGCCCAGAGGTAGAAATGCGCTCTCCCGCTAGCGACCCATCCAGCAGTGCGTCCCCCAACGTCTCATCCACGTCTAATAACGGAAGCGAGGCCGAAAGCAGTGGTTATGACGACCACGGTGAGTGCGACTGGTACTGTACATGTCTTCCTTGCAACTCGGGCACCTTTATTTCCCATGCATGCATCATGTCCCTTGCGAACTCCTCTCCTTACCGTTCGAAACTGCCGTGGCAATGCACCATAGGACCTAACCTCCCCTTACCGTATGTGCCCTCCAACAGGGGCAAGCCATTCTACTGTTAGCGACAGCGTCGACGGGGATGGCAGCGAGGATGGCTCGCATGGCCGCAGCAGTCCCGGTAGCATGCAAGGAGGTAAGGAACAGCCAGTGCGGTTTTGAACTAGGACGTGTCTCGTCTCCATGCTCGTAGAATCTCATGGCATTGTCGTACTTAGCAGGAGCTAGCCATTCCACGGGTACCAGCGGCGGCAGCGGCAGCAGAGGTGGCGACAGTGGGCCGGACTCACTCCATGACGACAGCTTGCTTGGTTATTGAGTACGATGTTGAGGAGTCCTATTGAGCGAGGGTTCAATTTGGTTGACCCGTAATTGAGTCTGCTATTGAGTCTACATTGAGTCGCCTAATTGAGCATGTAATCTCAATATGACATCTCAACAATTCCGGTCACTTTGTTAAATCTGGGACTCAATAAGGGGGTCAATTACACTCAATCTAACTCAATCTAACCCTTTCTGGGAGTGGTGGTCAAACATACGTGTTTAGATACCCCGTTACACTACCGCTCGCGCATTAATTCTCGATATAGTCAACCTTAGCTGTAAACCCCCATACACGGTGGTAGAGGCTGTGTGGTACAAGTGTAGTGTGACGGCTTCCACGGCATTACACGGCAGCAGTACTACTATAAGTGACTCTGTCCCAGAGTCGCGAAAAAATTACTCCTAGGGGTATAGTGTAGGAGCGTTCTAGTGCTGACACCCCGCCATGTATTTTAACGGTACTGTGAAGGCTTCCTTGTGTATAACTACAACGACTATCCATGATCAACAAGGGGCGCCAAACAGCAACTATAAGAAAGCACGTGTGCGACAGCCCCTTTCCGAACAGCACCTGTGTTGCACCTTAACAACAGACAACAGGAAAACACGTAAGGTAGTTGTTTCAAACATTCACTGTACCAAACCATAACACCAACCTCATTTCCATGACCCATAACAATGTTGTCTGTGTGTTCGAACAACTGTTCTCCATGGCACCGTGGCTTACACATAGTAATAGTCTGCAAAACGTTACAATGATATGGCTTCGTGCGCGATGTTGCCTAAGTAGGAAATTTGCTGAGGACATTAAGTCCCGGTATTCCCTAAGGCTTTTCCCTTGCTTCCACGGCGCGGCCTATCGGAGCGCCTAGAACCAAGGGCAGGCCAAAAAGGTATGGTCGCTCATAGAGAAGCGTATAAAGGTAACCACTGTTTCGCTGATGACATTGCTCCATCGCACAAACGAAGGTCAGAATGTTCCAAGCAGTGCTCAAGAGGAGAGCGGTATAGGCACGTTGCTTGTTATGTGTGCATTTCTGAGAAGGTTGGTGGAAGAATGCCGCACTGAAGAGGGCGTACCACTGAATACTAGCTGCTGCGACCAACATGCAGTGATAACACCCACAAACCCCTGCCCACATAGAAGAAGACGAGTTTGGTGACGAGGCACTGCCAGCATTCGACGAAACGCAGAGGTGCACATATACTTCAGATGAAGAAGCAGAGGAAGCCTGCAGATCTGCATTTGCAGAGTCCTGCTCATATGCCTGCTGCTGCTGCGAACGCAAGCTGTTCAGGCAATAGTTTGTGGAGGTCATGGAAAACATGTATGACACGGCAGGCTGTCACGCCATAGCATGTGCACCGTCATACTTTGTGATGCCAGCGGTTTTTGGCTTATTTAGTTGGGTGGATTTGGTCAGTTAAGATGTGGTTTTGTTTTGGATCTTTTTGCGGGACTGGTTCTACACAGTTCTGTCGTATTGTTGTACCTTTGGCGGTAGATAAGAGTGCCGACAACGCGTGTTGCGTTGTCTCCGTTGATCTCTAGGGTATGACTTGAGACAAACACAGCAGACCCGTCCCAATGGGACGTTAAACTCAATGGGTCGTGCGACACGCGAGACGATGCCTTGTAACGGTGATCCTGCTAGCCCGACTTCTACGCGTGCCTTTAGCCCAGAGCACGGCACGTACGTTAGGATAGGTAGCAGCTGTATCGGTAGCGACCTCTAGAGTTAGGCGCGCCATCGCCCGTGTCAGCTGGGAAGATCATTGCCCGTTTCCGTGCCATCGACAACTACTTCTTCGCCTACCAGTCGACGTCTACTACGCCAACACGTATGCTTTGCGTCCTTTTTGTGTGTTTATATCTCCATCCATTGGTTCATCAACGGAGACCACGGCCCAACTCAAGCGTACTGCTGGATCGACATGGACACCACGACCTCCGAGGCCATAACCGAGCAAGTGCCACGTGAGCCCGTGCTAAACGCCAGAGCCAACGCCAGAGCCAGAGCCAACGGAGCCAGAGCCAGAAGCTAGAGCCAGAGCTGACGCCTGAGCCGCGGATGGGCCAAATGCTTGGAGCGCTTTGTCGTGAGGATTGATGGTTGATATTTGTCCAGTTTTGTATTGCAAGTGTAGGCTTAGGTCGCATTTCGCTTTGGTCGTTTGCGCTTTCATTGTCTCTTCGTCATGCTGTTAACCTGGGCATCCTGCATGCTAGTTGGCGATTGAGTTGGGGATAAAATACTTCGGACTTAGTGTGTGAATGATCCGCCCTGCACACTTTGACGGCTCCGCTCCGCGCAGTGGTCATCCGAGTACGAGGATCAGCCTGGAGCAAAGGTGCAGACTGTGTCCGGCGCAGTGCACGCTTGGGTGCGTGAGACCGCAGGAGGCGGCATCCAAGTCTCCTTAAAGGGATCGGCTCGACCCCATACGGCATGCCAACAACAGCGAAAGGAGAGGCCAGGAGACATATGGCAGTAGTTATCATCAGCACTCAACCAGCTTTGCGTCCCACATCTGGGTCGCACGCTGGGGGGGGAGTCAACCATACGCACATGTTGTGTTTTATGTCACACGTTAGGGCGTGACAGCTGTCACGCCATAGCATGTGCACCGTCATACTTTGTGATGCCAGCGGTTTTTGGCTTATTAGTTGGGTGGATTTCGTCAGTTAAGATGTGGTTTTGTTTTGGATCTTTTTGCGGGACTGGTTCTACACAGTTCTGTCGTATTGTTGTACCTTTGGCGGTAGATAAGAGTGCCGACAACGCGTGTTGCGTTGTCTCCGTTGATCTCTAGGGTATGACTTGAGACCAACACAGCAGACCCGTCCCAATGGGACGTTAAACTCAATGGGTCGTGCGACACGCGAGACGATGCCTTGTAACGGTGATCCTGCTAGCCCGACTTCTACGCGTGCCTTTAGCCCAGAGCACGGCACGTACGTTAGGATAGGTAGCAGCTGTATCGGTAGCGACCTCTAGAGTTAGGCGCGCCATCGCCCGTGTCAGCTGGGAAGATCATTGCCCGTTTCCGTGCCATCGACAACTACTTCTTCGCCTACCAGTCGACGTCTACTACGCCAACACTTATGCTTTGCGTCCTTTTTGTGTGTTTATATCTCCATCCATCGCTCATCGTCGTTTGGCTGGGCAAAATGGGGTTGGACAGACAATGCTGACCAACACACTGTTGACTTGGTTGCGCTGTGGACGGCGTAGGCTTGCACTCGAGGACCCGGCGATGCACGTGACCGGTAGCGCGCAGGGCGGACTCTTGGACGCGCTGTTGTTGTCCTGGGCTGTACCAGTTGCTCCACTCACGCTATAGATGATGAAGAAGATAATAGGATCGAGATTTGGCGTATCACCGTTACAATCAGTCGCATTGCTAACAAGATATATAGTTGGTTCGGTTCGAGCTCACGAAGATTTGCTTCGAGAGCCAAACGACAACTCTAGCGTGCCGTCTTGGCTCCTTATATGCAAAGCAATCAGCCGCAATCGTACATTGGGCCCACTCTCCAGAAGCCCCGATGTCCTGCGGTACCATGGCGCCAACCGCCAGGCCGCGCGCCAGGCCTGGACGAGCGCCCGCGCATGGAAGCGCGGCTGAAGCTCCATTGTCCTAACTGCTACCCAGATGTCCCTCTCGATCAGCAACTCGTCACCAAAATAACGGTTAATGCTAGGCAAAACAGCCATGCCGCGAACGAGCGAGCGATCTAACTGCTCTGCGGCTAACACCGTTAAAATCATAACAGCACCGAACTGCTCTTCCAAACGGACCCATAATCATTACACAACCACATTTAAACCGTTTTTAACCGTTCTGCACATTTTATGTCCGTGTCACATGCTAGGGCGTGACAGCTGTCACGCCCGTGGCTGTAGCAACGGACGTAACACGTGCGCATGGCACAATCCCCCCCCAGCTCCCGCAGGGTGACGCCTGTGGTGAGCTGGCGTAGATGCGCACCAAACCCGCGAAAATGCCTCTAAATCAGCTCCCTACCACTTGTTCCTCCCTCAACGGAAACCCTGCGCAGTAGCGCACTCGCAAAAACCAAAACCCAAACGTATGCTCCTCCTTCTAGCAGCACCAACCTGCCCTCATTCTGCATGCTCCGTAGCCACCTCATGCGGGCTGCATCCGCCTCAGTGACGTACGTGGTAGGCACGCATGCTGCAACCCCTACTCCCGCGTGCTGGCATGCCACCGGCATCACTAGGTCCAGCACCGGGGCACTCACATCCAGGCAGACCAAACCATTGCAAACCCCCTCTCGCCTGGCGACTTCAAAGCTCTCCGGTTGAGCAGGGCGCATAGAGCCCTTGTCTCTTGACATGCGCAGGGCACACGCACTCCTGCGCAGCTCCTCAGCGGCCTCCCCACTCCATCGCCATGGCAGAAACACGCATCCAATGCATCCCAATTGAAGCGTGTTCGCCAGCAACTCCACTTGCACTGCTCCGACCGGCGTCACACGAGCCAGGTCGCTGACAGCAGCACTCGCCAGGGCTGCCGCCTTGTGATCAGAATGCTCGCCAGGCATGACGCAGGAGAGGGCTGCGTCCGCGCTGACTGCATCATGCAACTCCCAGGCGCCTTTGGGGACAGTGCAAGCCGCCACGGAGGCCTTTGCGCTTGCCCTGGAGCCCTTCTGGGCGCTCCGCGGTAGTGCGATTCTGGCTCGCAGCTCCGCGACAGGAACCATCTCCATATCACCGTTGTCGTACTCCACCTGAAAGAAGTGCCGCCGCCCTTGGCGCCCGGCATACGTGGCAACGCCTAACACCTTCGTGCTGCGCCGACCTTTGCCACGCAGCTCCTTCATGACTGCCGCACCTTGTAGCTCACGCAGGTACTTAGGCGGCTCCAGAGCTGTACTGTTGCTGGAGGTAGGGCGCGGAGCCCTTGACTCAACCTCCTCCGGAGTCAGACCCTTAGCGGTGCAGTTGGGGCAAACCCACGCACCTTCGGGTATCTCCTTCAATGGCGGCTGGAGGCAATACGTGTGCCAGCCAGTGCCACAACCATCGCAAAGCAGCATCCACTCTTCTCCGTCAGGGAACTTGCACACCTCGCACGGAAGTCCCGGTGATGGACGAGCCAGCCGGGGATCGACGGTGTGGTCGTCGATTGGGAGGTGGCATGGTGCGCAGTGACTGACGTGTGCGGTGATTGTGCTGCCGCAGCGGCCCTCCAGGAGCAGCACTCCTGTCGGCCTAACTTCCACCACGCGCAGGATGTCCGGCCTGGCCTTTGCGTCCAAACTGGTCC